GGCTTTTTCAGGGAAGCAGTCTCAGGACACGCCTACTCAAAAAGCTGTGAGAAGTCGTTTCAGTGTCAGCAGCGGGCACCTCGTGAGGTTGTGCAGCAATGCCGCGTCATGCTGTACGAGACTATTCATAAAGCCGTAGGGGGATTTTGTAGAGTTCATCTATTATGAGGTTGCAAATGTCCAAGCACTTGGATCATCCTAGAGAGCACGATCTTTAACATGCTAGACGCATGAGGATCCTACGATTGATGTGGGCTTGAATCCGCGATCTCGCCGCGCTGCAGCAGAGAAGCGACTCCCCTTCGAGTATCAGTTTGTGCTCTTAGCCAACCTCTACTCTGCAATCTTTGGTTCTCATTCCATCTTTGTGCCCGAGCCTGAGGGTGAGGGGCGGGTGGAGGGACAAGCGATGGACCACTGCTTCCCAACACCTGACGAAGGAAAGGATTGGGGGGCTAAACCCTAAACCCTAAACCCTAAACTCCCTAAACCATACACACTCTTGCTGCTTGGGGGTGGTGGGGGATGGGGGAGGGTCTGGGTTCTGTCCGAATTGGGCTGCCTGCAGCTTCCACTTTCTCTTTACCAAGACCAAATTGGAGTCACTACTATATCACTATAGTGGTCTGAATAATTGCCAGTAGTATGTGCTTAGCCCTTTTCTAAGTAATAATTAATCAGGCCCCAAAATTACGCTGGAAAGCTTTCTGCTTCATGCTTTCGTCGAGGCGTCTCACGGCTTTCAAAGACAGGCTGTGGGTGTTCTTTTGTTCTGTAGCAGCTACCGGTTCTGCGCCAGCTACAATAAGGGTTCTAGTATAGTTGCCCCAATACTTAGACGAGAGTTTAATACTGAGAAGAAAATGGGAGCAACGCGACTAAATGTAGCCGGTGGTGGCAGTGCTAATTTTGGTGGTAATTGTGTATTTAATGGCAGTGATAATACATTTCAAAATAACATTTTAATCCGTAGTAGAGGTAGAATATATCAACAAACAAACGCG